AGATGCTGGGTTGAACGGCGAGAAGCTGCTGTCGGTTGCCATTCTGAGTTCCTTGTGTCCCGGAGCTGAAGCCTGGATACACGGTGCGAGGCAGCGGTGCGGCAGGTGGCGGTGCTGCGGTGCTGTGTGTGGCAGTCAGCTCAGCGGGATCCCACCTTCGTCGCCAGTGAAATGTACTCAGAGTCGCAAAGTGATTTCATGCTCTTTATTCAGCTCATAGTGGTGAGGAGGAATGAATGAAAGTCCCCTCAAAGTATCTGCTTTATATACATTATTTACACAATGGGCTGCACATGATTGGCTAATTCTGGAATTCTACTGTAAGCCAATCAGGTTGTGGATTCACTTATATCTGGAGCATGATTGGGTGGTTCCTGCCAACCAATCATACTGCTGCATTGTTCTAGGACCAATCAGACTGCTGCATTCTGAATCCTATTGTTCTAGGACCAATCAGACTGCTGCAATTTGGATCCTATTGTTCTAGGACCAATCAGACTGCTGCAGTTTGGATCCTATTCAACTCAGTACATAACAGGCCTGGAGCAGAATAGAGATGAGCAGAACTATGCAGACCCCAGGGAACAGAATGGCAAAAATTACAAACTCAAGTTTTAGAATTAAGAGGATGATAAAGTCGAGAACACTTTCCTGCATTTTGCTATTGAACTTTTTTGCCTAGGACGTAGCAATTTGGCTTCATTGGACTGTTCTTCATTTTGGGGTGGGGTGCTGCAAGAATATTTTCTCACAATTCTCTATTCTCACAATTCTCCCTGTAAAACCAGATATCTATCTATCTGTCATCTATCTATCTATCTATCTATCTATCTATCTATCTATCAATCATCTATCTATCATCTATCATCTATCATCTATCTATCATCTATCTCCCTGCTTTTAATAGCACCCACAACCTGCCACTTGAGGATGCTGTCTCACTCCCTGCCCCCCCCCCCCAATTGCAGGCATGCATTTGAATCCAAAATAAAAGGGGAAGACGGTGGCTTGTGTTTTCATCATGTGGAGAGGCCTCTTCGGCCTGCCATCCTTTCCACCTCTCCCTCTAACCTCTTGCATGGATTCTGTACACCACAATTTGTTTCAGAAGGAACCAGATTGTGTCTGAAAACAAGCTTTTCCCCCTTTCTAACCGCTTGTGGGGTTACTCCAAACCCTGTCGGCCCGACTTAGTGTAACTCTGGAAAGCAGAGTCTTTGGGGCGGATGGCCAGAGGGGCTGCTCCTTTCATCAGAAGGATTAAAAGGCGAGGAAATGATGGGTACTGACCGCTAAGGGAGAGGTGGGGGGGGGCGGGGACGGGAACTGGTAAATATAACATGTGTTACAACTTCTTAGAAAGAAAAAGCAAAAAAGGGTCAGTGGTCTTGTCAGACACTGATCCCTGCCTGCACCTTCTTCTTCGAATGTGGGCATCAGGGAATTTGGGCAAGTGAGGAGGGGGAAGGGGGTGGGTGCATAAAAAGAAGACCGAGATGGAGGGACAGGGTAGAGGATGGGGAAGTGATGGGAAGAGGCAAGATGGGAGGGCAGGAGGAATACTGGGCCAGGAATGAAGAAGATGGGCAACAGAAGAAGGGGAAAGATTGGTGGTGTGATGAGGTAAATGTAGATTCTGGATGTCTGAAGCATCCCTTCCCCGAGCTTCAGGTGATACTACTTCAAAATATTGTGGCAATCCTCTGCATTTGTGGGGAGGCCCTCCTTCTCCTCCAATAGCAGGGTCCAACAGCAGGGTTGTGAGGCAAAGGGAAAACCAAACAAAGCAGAGTGGTCCAAAATGGCGGGAGTCCGAAGCTCAAGGCCCATCACGGTAGGCAACAGGAACAAGAAGAGTCAAAGGCCGCCTTTGACTTATGAATATGGTCACCTGGACCTTGCCCAGACCCAACTGCAACGGGTTAACCCATTCAGATCACACCAATGGCCTCATCTCATCCAACATCCTGTTTCCCCACAGTGGCCAACCAGATGCCTACAGGAAGTTCACCAGTGGGGCCTGAGGGAAATGGCCCCGCCACCTGTGGTGATTCTTCAGGGGCTAATATTCAGAGGCCTGTTGCTCTGTGATCCTGGCAGCGCAGTTCCGCCATCATCGATCGCCTCATCCTCCACGAACGTGACTCCATCTTTTTTCTACAGTTGCCTAAGTTGGTGTGCCAATGTCGCTGCATGAATACAGTGGTACCTCGGGTTAAGTACTTAATTTGTTCGGAAGGTCCGTTCTTAACCTGAAACCTGAGGTACCACTTTAGCTAATGGGGCCTCCTGCTGCCGCCGGAGCACAATTTCTGTTCTCATCCTGAAGCAAAGTTCTTAACCCAAGGTACTACTTCTGGGTTAGCGGAGTCTGTAACCTGAAGCATCTGTAACCCGAGGTACCACTGTACTTCTTTTTGTCTGTCCTGAATCTCCCACTTGGTTGGGTGGCCCTGGGTTCTTGGTGTTGGAGGGTAAAATAGTCCTTTCCCCAGATGTGGAATAATAATCACATCTCTCCGTTGGAAGCCATACATGCTTCCCAGCCTCCCACCGCCGGCATTCCTCTCCTGCGGTTCCAAGGAAGCTGACATTCCAGTTCCCCTCCTGAGCTGGAAGGACTTGGCAAATTGGTCACACATATTCTTCATACTATAACTCTTGGAACTGGAAGCGTTCCAAGACGGGTGCCTCCCTCAAATCCCTCTCCAGTGTTTCCTTGCCAGCCCCCCGCCCCCCTCTGGCCCAGGGCTCTCCTATCTTGTTTCCAGCTCTTCTTCCCTCCCTCCACCCCTCCACCCCACCTCTCTGCTGCCGGCCCTTGCAATCTCTTGCTTTAAAAACCAGGAGTTGGGAACTTTGGGTGGCATTTACTTCAAGGTTCAAATGCCGGCCCTGAAGGCTGTTTCAGCCGCCAGGGCTTTGCTCAGGGGCAGCATGTCTCTGAGCATCTGCAGAGTGCCTTCCGCCCAAAGTGCTGGATTACTGCGCAGCTGTCAGGAAAGCAGATCACTCTTACAGCTGTTTCACAAACTTTACACAAAATCCGTAAAAGGTACTTACTGCTTCTGGTTTCATTTGTAAATGTCTCATGGGAAACTGAGGGAAAACAATACAGTGGTACCTCAGGTTACATACGCTTCAGGTTACAGACTCTGCTAACCCAGAAATAGTGCTTCAGGTTAAGAACTTTGCTTCAGGATGAGAACAGAAATTGTGCTCCGGCGGCGCAGCAGCAGTGGGAGGCCCCATTAGTTAAAGTGGTGAATCAGATTAAGAACAGTTTCAGGTTAAGTACGGACCTCCGGAACGAATTAAGTACTTAACCTGAGGTACCACTGTACAGCTGATTGGACAGGATTGTAAAGCTGGGTATTATTTTGATTTTTGAAGCATTTCTGCTGCCCATCCCCCCCCCCGAACCCTACCCTCATTATTGTCTGCAGGACAATTCCACTATACATGTAAATAAATCGCCCATATGCTGATTTGGGAAAGGCCAATTATGTCCATAATCAAATTGTGTGTTTTATTCAGGCCAAAACATGGCAATGGGCTGCTAGTTTTGAGAGCTTTAAAAAGGGGTGGGGAGATGAGGCAAAATCATCAGTGGAGGTTAGGTCCATCAACAACTGAGCCACAATAGAGCCTCCACATTCAAAGGCACTATACCTCTTAGTGGCATATGATGACAACAAGACAGAAATAGAGGGACCTCCTTGCCCTTGAAGTAGGATTTGACCTTGTCTGTCCTCCCTTCATGTCCAACACTGGAGAAGAGATGTGACTGGAAAGGGATTAACCCTTGGGAATCTTCTCTGTCTGTCTGTCTGTCTGTCTGTCTGCCTCTCTCTCTCTCCTCCCTCCTATTTCAAGCTGTTTTTGGATGGCATTAACTGAGCTATGCTAATGGCTTTCCTTCCTGTTCCTCTCTGTTTACACTGGCAAGGATCAGGTTGTGCTCCTGTAACTGGAGCTCACTTCCTTCCAGAAGATTAAGGAGTGCTTGCCTGGTAGCCCTCTCCCTCCAAAGGATGCTGACAAGGAGCTAAAACTAGTGATTAATATCCCAGAACAGGTTCTTAGATCTTCACTTCTCCCTCAGCATGTGGGCTAATATTCATTCAGCTGCGCCCCCCCTTCTCTGAGCCACCACAGTACTGTGTAACAAAACCTTCCCCGCTTGACTCAACAGGGCCTGTTAATGCCTTTAGGAAGCTTCTGCTTTCAAAGCAAGGAGGGCTGGAGAAAGTTTTGAGGCCTGCCTGTCTGCAACAGTCAGTCACAGAACGAACTCTTATTTATCCGAATAAAGCCTTGGGTTTCTGTGCAGTTTCACAGCAGTATACCTCTAGAATTTAAGACTCAGGAGCCCTTTCAGATTTGTCTTAAGCAATGAGGATTAGAAACATGATGCCCCACCCCATATAAATAAGTAAACACAGAAATTGGAAGGACACCTATGCAGAAGCTGCTGGGTTTTTTCATTACAAGAACCATGATTTATTTTCTTTGTGGCACCACAGCAGTTGTGTATGTTTTCAGATACTCCTCACCTCAAGAGATTCCTCCAATCTTAGACCAGCATAATGGCCACTTTATGCACACTGGCTTCCACAGAACAAGGAAATTGACTTATATTTTGGACTTTCCAAGCATATGTTTTTGGGAGAGTCCATTTTTAAGGCTCTGGTGGAAGTGGGCAACATTTAATTTCTAAAGGAGAGTTGATGTGGGATGCTCACACCTTCCTCTCAGCCTTTTGCTTCTAGAGTGGTACCTCGGGTTAAGAACTTAATTCGTTCTGGAGGTCTGTTCTTAACCTGAAACTGTTCTTAACCTGAAGCACCACTTTAGCTAATGGGGCCTCCTGCTGCCGCTGCGCCGCCAGAGCCCGATTTCTGTTCTCCTCCTGAAGCAAAGTTCTTAACCCGAGGTACTATTTCTGGGTTAGCGGAGTCTGTAACCTGAAGTGTATGTAACCCGAGGTACCACTGTACTCCCAAAAGCTCAGTCAGTAGAGCATGAGACTCTTAATCTCAGGGTTCAAGCCCCACATTGGGTGAAAGATTCCTGTATTGCAGGGGGTTGGACTAGATGATCCTTGTGGTCCCTTCCAACTTTACAATTCTGTGTTTCTAAGTGGGGTGGTGGTGGTTTGGCCTGTGGTTTATTCGCTATTGGTATAAAGACATTCTGTTTATTCTTAGAAGCACTTTCTTCATTCAAAATATAGGTTTCCTTTGCTCACATTTAATGACCACACAAACACACAGAGAGAACAAAAGTACCTGATTCCCTTACACTGGTTGCTTTCAGACAACCTGTCTATTAAGGATTCTGTCTGATTTGTTTGCAGGAAGGTTAGATAAAGTTGCATCAGGCAGGTGTAAACCCTGAATTTCCCCAGCACAAAACAACAACAACAATGCCACAATTTGGGGAGGGTGAAGCTTGTTGCACAAGTTCTCCAAATCAACTTTGAAGGTGAAACCTACATTTGTCAGGAGGTGATTGAATCCCACCCCCAAATAGCAACTGTCTGGAAGTGTCCGCTTCCTGGAAAGTGTTTCCTCCCCCCCCCCCCTTTTAGTGTTCCATTTGGGTTTCCCATCTGGGTTATATTTAGGGTGGCCACTTATGCATTGCCAAAAAAGAGACAACAGAAACGAAAGGGCAGGGGCTATTTGCAAATCATTAGCATGGGTTAATTTATATGCCTATGTAGAAATTATGGTGACAATTTCAACAGAAAAAAACAAGACATCACACCATAGTGGAGAGGACTGTGACCAGGGGTCCTGCTCAATCTGCTGCCCAGGTGGTCACTGAGGATTGACCACTTCCAGCCCCCTGCTTGTTCTGAAGGGGCCTTACCTTTAAGATGGCCTTAGACCAGGCAGCCCTTCCAATAGAGGACTCCTTCAAATACACGACTGATAAGTAATGGACCATAGGTAAAGGTAAAGGGACCCCTGACCATTAGGTCCAGTCGTGACCAACTCTGGGGTTGCGGCGCTCATCTCGCTTTATAGGCCGAGGGAGCCGGCGTACAGCATTCAGGTCATGTGGCCAGCATGACTAAGCCGCTTCTGGCGAACCAGAGCAGTGCACGGAAACGCCGTTTACCTTCCCGCTGGAGCGGTACCTATTTATCTACTTGCACTTTGATGTGTTTTCGAACTGCTAGGTTGGCAGGAGCAGGGACCAAGCAACGGGCGCTCACTCTGTCGCGGGGATTCAAACCGCCAACCATTCTGATCAGCAAGTCGTAGGCTCTGTGGTTTAACCCACAGCGCCACCCGCGTCCCTATGGACCATAAGGAAGGACAAATGATCACGCAAGTTATACTTACTCCAAAAATAAAACAAAAATAAAAATAATAGACACGGGTGGCACTGTGGTCTAAACCACTGAGCCTCTTGGGCTTGCCGATTGGAAGGTCGGCGGTTTGAATCCCTGCAACAGAGTGAGCTGCCATTGCTCTGCCCCAGCTCCTGCCAACCTAGCAGTTCAAAAACACACCAGTGCACACCTGCTGTGGCAGGAAGGTAAACGGTGTTTCCATGTGCTCTAGTTTCCATCACAGTGTCCTGTTGCACCAGAAGCGGTTTAGTCATGCTGGCCACATGACCTGGAAAGCTGTCTGTGGACAAACGCCGGCTCCCTCGGCCTGAAAGCGAGATGAGCGCTGCAACCCCATAGTCGCCTTTGACTGGACTTAACCGTCCAGCGGTCCCTTACCTTTTTTTACTCCAAAAATACTGGGTGTGATCTGTACTAACTGAGCATGTCTAGAGACCTTTCAGCACAAGGTTGGCTTATAAATAACAAGTGTGGTCAGGTGAATTGAGAACTGCGGCCCAATCCAGGCCACAACAGGTATGCATGCCTCTTCAGCGAGCAGAGCTATGAGTCACCTTCGCCAAAAAGGGATGCCATTTCACCACCACCGTACATCTGCTGAAGCTGAAGGCAGCTGGGCAAAATGGTCATTTGAAAAGAAGCATCTCATAAGCCAGACTGATCTTGCACACCCCAATCGCCAAAGCCATGTTAAAAACTAGGCTGTGGGACATAGATCGTCAGGAACTAATCTCAGCTGTGGAAAAAACATGTTCCCCTCTTTATTTTCAACTTTCTTGGGTTTAGGAAATTAACCTTAATTATTTACAATTTTTGTTTAACCCTCAAGAAAGAAGGGCTTTTTCGCTGGCTAGGTTCAATTCTAATCCTTCTAACCTCCTTTGGGGTAGGTTTGTGGGTATGGCAGAAGGAGATAGGATCTGCCCATGTGATGCCCATCTGGTGGAAACTCTAGCTCACACGGCCCTTAAATGTAAAATGTATGATTATTTCCGCCAACAATTTTTAGACCATGTATTCCAACATGGAAACCAAAGACAGAGGTTATACACTTCTTATTACAGGGCAGAGACCAGGAGCTCACCAAAACAGTAGCTAAGTTCCTCTATTTGATTTTTTGTCGCTGAAGTACGCTGCAGGATCCTGCGCTTGCTGGAGACCCACAGAGATGAAATAGATTGCTCACCTCTTCTTCCCTTTGGCAAATGACTGTACTGTTGAAATGGCGACCAGATCGCACTGGCTTATTTATTCTGAATGTTTGTAAGTGATGCCAATAAAGGTATGATGATGATATTGCACAGAGATGGTTTTCCAAAGAAGATTAAGCATGCAGTTTAATCACACAGGGAATGTGGGGGTTCGGTGGTTCTCCTGTGGCCTAAGTGCAGGCTTACCCACCTGCCAGTATTTTACAAGTTTATCCAATCGCGACAGAAAACCAGGGTTTGGGTTCTGACAAGTCAACAAAATACAGGTTCTGATCTTGACCTTTCTCTTCTGCAGTGGCTCCCCGTTTGTGAAATGCTCTCCCCAGGGACGTTCGCCTGGCGCCTTCATGACACACCTTTAGGGGCCAGGCAAAAACATTCCTCTTCAATCAGGCCTTGGGCTGATTGACATCCAATGCCTTTTTAAATGTGTTGGGGGGGGGAATTATCGGTTTGGTTCTGTTCTTAATTTTATTGTGCATTTTGATTCTTTTATATTGTAATTTATACAAATTTAAACAACAAGAACAACAACTTTTACCTCACTCCACCTCATCCCCTCAGATTTCTCTGGGCTCCACCTTTCACCACCTGGGTTCTGTCTTCGTTCTACCTGTGCTGGGCCACAAGTGGGAGCAGTATTTTTTTAGACATAACTAATGGATGCGGGTGGTGCTGTGGGTTAAACCACAGAGCCTAGGGATTGCCGACCAGAAGGTCGGCGGTTTGAATCCCCACGACGGGGTGAGCTCCCGTTGCTCAGTCCCTGCTCCTGCCAACCTAGCAGTTTGAAAGCACGTCAAAGTGCAAGTAGATAAATAGGTACCGCTCCAGCGGGAAGGTAAACGGCGTTTCCGTGCACTGCTCTGGTTCGCCAGAAGCGGCTTAGTCATGCTGGCCACATGACCTGGAAGCTGTACGCTGGCTCCCTCGGCCAATAAAGTGAGATGAGCGTCGCAACCCCAGAGTCGGCCAGGGTCCCTTTACCTTTACCTTTAATGGGCGTTAGATCCTTGGTGCGAAAGAGTGTACACAGGTGGATTTGATAGCCTTTCGAGGCCCTTCCTGGCCTCCCCTTTTGAAGCGTCTGGGTGAAATTCTGTTTGGCAAGACCTTCCAACTAGCAAGCAGGGAGGCCCCGGAAAACCTCCTGCATCTCCAAGAGTGGTCCTTTCTGATGAGATGCGACAGCTTGCATCGAAGGCAGGAGAACGGCCAATATCTTGGGGGCAAGCATCTTGCAGGAAGTGGCATTCACACACAGACAAACAGACGTACACTGAAGCTGAGTCAAGATGTCAGGCCTGAAACGTAACAGTTTGTCATTTCCTTAACCTTATAATTAACGGGCGATTCTTCCGAGTGGCGTTGCAAGCACCTCTGTTTTTGTGTGTGCGCGCACTCGCTTGCATGTGTGGAGCTCAGGCAGAGGGAGGGCTGTGTGTGTGTGTGTGTGTGTGTGTGTGTACAGAGAGACAGTGTTGTGTTAAATTTGCTTGCAGGAGAACAGCTGCCTTGCTTAGGGATAGATTGCACTGCATTTGCAATGACTCTTTGCAGGCAGAAATGCAAGTCCACCGCAGTGTGGAAAGCAGCTTGAACACGATACTGCCGAGCAGATGGGGGTAGATTGGGGGGGGGGGAGGAAGCAGTTCCTGAAGGTCTACCCACATGCTGTATCACATGCACACAATGCTCACATATGCAAGGAAAACACAAGGAAGCTGGCAAGCTTTCTCTGTTGGCTCCACGTTTAAATTTTTTCTTCCATGAGGCATTTTGGGTCCTTCTTTTCAGGATCAGATTCCTGGAAAATCTGCGCGGTGCAAATAGCTCCAATCGAATCAAGTCATTGAACCAAGCCACATAAGAACGTAAACAAAAGCCCTCGTGGGTGGGGACAGCTTGTTTTCTCCTGCTCTGGAGGGTAGGGCAGGAACCAATAGCTTCAAATTACAAGAAAGGAGATTCCCACAAAACATCAGGAGGAACTTTCTGACAGTAAGAGCTGTTCAACAGTGGAACGGACTCCTGCAAGATTCTCCTTCCTTGGCGGTTTTTAAGCAGAGGTCGGGTGGCCATCTGCCATGGATGCTTTAGCTGAGATTCCTGCATTGCAGGGGCTTGGACTACATGGCCCTTAATAATAATAATAATAATAATAATAATTTATACCCCGCCCTCCCCAGCCAAGAGGCACTCCCCAGCCAGGAGGGCACTCCTCAGGGCGGCTAACACAATTAATTAAAATACAACTTAAAAACAAGATTAAAATACAACATTAAGATGTTATGCTGCCGATTCTATGGGGATATACGCTCGGTATTTATCACTCCTGTTATACAAAAATGTCCAAATGGGTCTGAACTTCAATGTCTAAAACTCCTGGTAGAGGACAAGGATCTGGAGATTACGCTAAGGGCGGCCAAATTCTGTGCGACTGCCATAAAACTTAGGGAACAAGCGGTACTACCAAAATGATTAAGGTT